AAGGTTATCCGGTTTTCCAGGGAATGCTATTTCTCTGTGTACTGTTGTAAGCATCTTATTTTCGGTACAGTGAAGCCGATGGCGAGAGTGTATGGGAAAAGGTGTTAGGAATATTTTACTTTAGAAATGGATAAATATATGTATATTTAAAACTTTACTTATATGTTTAAGTAAAATAAAGGTGACACCTGGAGACTGATTGAAAAATATATGTTATGTTAATCAATTTATAAAAAACAAGTATGAAAAATTATCTTAAATAAATAGTAAGTTTTAGGAAATTCAGCGTTTACATTACATGAAAAATATATGCAAAAAAATAAAAATTATTTTTCTGACAGAACACTGTTCAACCTTTCGCAATTAATCTAGATCCTGGAATCAGTGATCTCCGCTCATTGGTTTCATCTCTGTTAGAAAAATAATTTTCGATTACACCACCATTCTCAGTTTGCCCCTGAAAAAGAAAGGTCCACCTTTCGAAAGTGTTCGGTGTTTTTATTCATTTCTATCAAGACTTCTTGAACCTAAGTGTTTTTCTAACATCATGGATGTAATATGACATATTTTGTCAATGCAATTTCTTTTGTGTTTCGTATATATACGTATTTTAGATGTAGAATATCAGTTTGATTGAAGTTACAATGAAGCTAATAATAGAATTTATTGCGAAGAAAAGAGTTTTAAACATACAATTTATTTTTTTCTGTTTACATTCTTATAACTCTGGCGACGACCCTTCGAAAGTTCTTTGTCGATATTACATTAAATAAATAATTTTATAATTTTTTTCTTACTTTATAAAACCTTTCGTAACTAATGCTTGTGCCTATTCACTCCTTCGCCGTTTGGGGGCGTCTTCCTTCAACTCAGGGACCAGAAAAAGTAAGGACGCTTAATTATTCGTTATGACGCCATGCACCACGCTTTAGACTAAATCCTGAAATATAGGCCTGACAAATGCTTAATTAATACAATCTAATTCGAAACTACTAACACAACCTTAATAGTTAGTTGTTTTTGTTTTGTTTTATTTTGCTTAAAGACCTGTTAGAGACTAAGAATTTAATATTTATCCAACTACAACTATAATAGAAATATCACTTCCAACAGTAGCACGTCTTCGTATGAAGGGCTTCGCCACAACATCCTTGTTCTACAGTATTTATGTTGACAACAATGGTTCTTCGCCACAACATCCTTGTTTTACAGTATTTATGTTGACAACAATGATTCTTCGCCACAACATCCTTGTTCTACAGTATTTATGTTGACAACAACGGTTCTTCGCCACAAAATCCTTGTTCTACAGTATTTATGTTGACAACAATGGTTCTTCGCCACAACATCCTTGTTTTACAGTATTTATGTTGACAACAATGGTTATTTTTACTAAATTACAGATTTTTCCCTTTTACTCACATTCTTCAGCATTTGGATAATATGTGTTAACTGGATCCAAAACAGTTCTTTCAATTTTCTTTCCTTAGGTCCACTTCCCAGCAGAAGATGTAAGTCCTCTGTGGAATCGCTGCGCTCTTGCTACAACTGATCTAAGTTGTGTAATTTACATGCTGGATGTGTGGGCGTCCAAGTGCTCTTTTATTTATGCACAATTTTTCAAAAAGACAACCCTTTTAATTGAAAATTAACCAATATAGCCCCCCCCAACTCTCTGAACTAACGTTCGAACAACCTGCATTAAAGCGCTTGTGTGTCTCCATTTTTAGATTGTTTGGAAAACAAGAGTTTATGGTACAAGACCTAAACTAAACATTCGTTTTTGTTAATGAGCTTATATCTACCTTGTTAAAACAAAACAAAAAATCTCGCTTGAAAAAAATTAAATACAGCATATACTAGTTTTAATGCTAGAAATAAACGACATTATAACACCATATTGTTGCTATTATTTAACTAGATACTCAATGTTTCGCTTTCCAGCTTCTTCAAGAGTGTTCCACTAAACCACAAACCGAAACTGACAGTACAAACAAAGCCTTTAAAGCATTAAAATGTCTTCAATATGCCCTACAGAAATTTAATAACGAGTATATCCTACTTATTATAATACATATTAACGAATTAAAGACAGGCTATCCTAGTTATTATAATACATATTATCTAATCAAAGACAGCTTATCCTAGTTATTATAATACATATTAACTAATCAAAGACAGCCTATCCTAGTTATTATAATAGATATTATCTAATCAAAGACAGCCTATCCTACATATTATAATAAATATTAACGAATCAAAGACATCCTATCCTAGTTATTATAATACATATTAACAAATCAAAGACAGCCTATCCTAGATATTATGATAAATATTAACGAATCAAAGACACTTTATCCTAGTTACTGTAATACATATTAACAAATCAAAGACAGCCTATCCTAGATATTATGATAAATATTAACGAATCAAAGACACTTTATCCTAGTTACTGTAATACATATCAACGAATCAAAGACACCCTATCCTAGTTACTGTAATAAATATTAACGAATCAAAGACAGCCTTTCCTAGTTATTATAATAAATATTAACGATTTTACTACTTCTTGTTGTTCTGGGAGAATTAGAGTAATCAATCCTAATTGTTAGATTAACTAATTTCTAGGAACTTTAGATTAAGTAAACCTAATGGTTTGATTAGCTACTTGCTGAGAGATTTAGATTAAAAAAGCTTAAGGGTTTGATTAGCTAATTGCTGGAAGATTTAGATTAAGCAAACCTAATGGTTCGATTAGCTAATTCCTGAGAGGCTTAGGTTAATCAAACTATTGTTTAAATAGCTAACTGCACTCTACTATCTTATTATTTTGTTGCTTTTTAAGAAAGTTTATATAGCAAGTAAAGCGACTGAGTAATTTATATAATTTCTAATTTGCATGAATGGTGCTTACATAACGTCTCTTATTTTTTATTTCGAGAATGTCTGTTACTTTTTTTATTTGCATATATGATATTTGCATAATTTCAAGAATGTCTGTTTTTTATTTGCATACACGATATTTGCATAATTTCGAGAATGTCTGTTACTTTTTTATTTGCATACATGATATTTGCATTAATTACGACTTTGATGTTTTTATCTTTCTTTTTTTTGCTAATATTAAAAACCAGAGCTACCACTTTACCTATGCTACAAAATATTATTGTTTTGTATCAGCTGACAGAGTACATTAACCTTACTAACTATTTAAGAGTTTGCTTCTGAAACTTGGCGTATCGATGTTTGAAATAAACTTAACCCAGTAACATGTGTAAGATAGGTTATTTATTTTTTTGTTAAAAATTGAAAACAATTGCATTAAATCTAACAAAACAATAAAACGTTGTATTTTTAGGACGATATTTTGTTATCTTGGAACACTTATAACGAATTCTTAACCAGATATATTTTAAATGATGTAATTCTTTTAAAAATACGGGTTATATATTTAGTTTTGCTTAAATGTGCATTTTAAATAATTTAAACTTAAATGTTAAAAAAGAAAAGATAAACTAATTTAAGTGAAACAGACAGTTGTAGATGATAACGTGAGGTCTTTCTCTTTTCATAAGCAATTGCATATAAAATCTACCATAAAAAAGTTTGAAATGCTAATAGCTTTTAAAGGGAGAGAGGAAATTTCCGATTGAAACCAACTTTTAAAATAGAAGGAAACAATACTAAAATAAATGAAGTAGATATCTAATGCCCATGAATTCTGGAGTAGCATGACTTAACTTTTATGTAAAGTAATGAAATTCTGGATTGTTAAACGCCAAGTAAGACTGAAATTTTATTTTCAACATCTAGGACTGAAGAGGCGCCAAAAGCATCTGAAGCAGAACTCGCCATGGAGGTAAGATTGACGGTAGCGTAAGTTAAGGTAATAAATTCTATAAAAATACGTACCAGCAATAAGTGTGAGTCACACAGGTGAAAAAAATGTGTTATAACACATGCAAAATCGGGGGATCACTACTGGCCTTTCTGTGTTGTGTCCTCTCATTGTTTTATAATTCTAATAAAAATAAATATTAACTTCAGAATTATTATCTGGATATAATTACAGACGATTACATTGATACATTATCACGAGTCTGCTTTCAACTGCATTAATTTCAGAGATTGACCAGTAACGTGCAATACCATCCAAATACTTCGAATGTTTCAACATACTTTAAAAATGACAACAAAGGAAAGAGTAAGGAAAAATAAATGGATTACAGCAGCTTAATGTTAGGTCTCTCCTCCCCGGGTTCAATTACCCGTGGTGGATACAGCTGATAGTCCAGTGTGGCTTTGCTCTACAATAGCCACACAAACGTAGTGTTCGAAGGGCGTGGTTTCAAGATCTTAATTCACCCCGTAAACTTCATACTCTGTACTTTTCTTTACATTTTCATAGTTAAAGACGTAGGGGTAGAGGGCTCATTCTTCTAATTAGCAGTTGATTGTTTTTAAGTTAACACAAACATTGTCTTATTTTATAACAACACAGACGTGTGTGAGCTATAAAACTTTTGACTGTTATAATAATATAAACACACGTTTTGTATGTTTTCTAAAAACACAAATGACATAGGGATTTGAATTTAAAAATGTTTTTATTTAAATACATTGTTGTATTATGTAAACATAGGTGAAATAAATATATAACATAAAGACTAGGGGAATATAGTTCAATTACACAGATGCGTCACTTCCGGTTTCATTGAATTAAAAGATGAGATCCTATTGAGCTGATTTACCTTTTGTTATTTCTACCACGGTTATCCTTGGTGACGTAGAATTATCTTACAGGTGAGAAGTAAAACAAGATAGAAGAGGACGTAAAGTAAACATAACATGTTGATTGGAAAATGTCAACTGTAAACTAGCAAAATTCGGGTCACTCGCTTTTCAAAATATAAGCCCATTACTCGTTATTTCTAAGACTGAACATTTGCCTTTAGTTTTAAATTTATCCTACAAACCAGTTTTAAAGTACGCAAAAAAAACTAAATCTTTTCACATAACACCTAGAATATTGAAGAACTGATAGGAAATTTGTGTGATATTACGATAATCGAAAAGAGATGATACAAATTATTATTGGTGATATTGTGATCTAATATCATGGAAACTTTTGATGAAGAAACTACTTTATAGATTAAGGATTTTGGTAAAAAAGTTAGGGGAAAAAAACGTCGTTTATTTTCCGAATAATAACAGTAATGATAAAGATTTTTTGTTATTATCACGTGGAGAGTAAACTATTAGTTTGAACAATTAAGATAACAAAAAAAAAATAAACTTATTTCTCCTTCTCTCTGATGGCCAACTTTTACGGTGCAAATTCGTTTTGGTACATTTTTAAATTTTATAATAAATGTTTCTTGTAGAGCGCTCGGTTTATTCCTCTGTTGTATTACGGCGATATTAGTATATTTTAAACGTAAGCACTAAGTTGAAATCGAATATTACAGGAGAAAATGAGGAAGAAAAAAGAGGAGGAACAGGCTATGTGGCAGGAGTACTTAGAACAGCGACGAATGCAAAGACAGAAAGAAGAAGAAGATTTAAAAAAATTGAAGGACAGACAGGTAAATAATAATTATGATGAATGAATACAGTGTTCACATTTAGACGTAGAAATGTAGAAACTAGGAGGTCACGCGACTGAAGGACAGACAGGTAAGTAATAACCATGATGACTGAGTACAGTCTTCACATTTAGACACAGCAATGTTAAATTAGGTGGTCACGCGACTGAAGGCCAGACAGGTAAATAATAATTATGATGACTGAGTACAGTGTTCACATTTAGACGTAGAAAAGTAAAAACTAGGACCTAGTTTTTACATTGCTGTGTCTAAATGTGAACATTGTACTCAGTCATCATGGTTATTACTTACCTGTCTGTCCTTCAGTCGCGTGACCTCCTAGTTTTTACATTGCTGTGTCTAAATGTGAACACTGTACTCAGTCATCATGGTTATTACTTACCTGTCTGTCCTTCAGTCGCGTGACCTGGTCACGCGACTGAAGGACAGACAGGTAAGTAATAACTATGATGACTTTGATGATAGTAATTCCAATTCACTTACTTAATCTAGTTTAAACCATAACAATTGTTGTTCGTGCAGTTTATGATATAAGTAATGCCTCGACCAAAACTATGTCTGTTGTATCTCAGCCAGCCTGATGAGCCCTAAATTGGACGAAAGGTTTCTTCGGTACTGGACATGGCAAATGTAGTGTATTTGGCATACCATTACATATTTTTCTTTGCTTTCTCTAGAAAATTCTTAGGATTTAAATGGTGTAGTCTACATTTTTAAATACCGATTAAAAAATAGAATATTTCAAATTAAACAAGTTAGATAGTTTTATTAAATAATTTAGGCAAGAAGGAAGACACAAAGAGCAGAAGAAGAAGCGAAGATGATGGAAATGAAACGAAGACAGGAAGAAATGAGGCAGAAAGAAGCTGTAAGTGACACATGGATACGGGTCGTGGGTTCGAATTCCCGTCCCACCAAACACGCTCGCCCTTTCAGCCGTGGGGGCGTTATAATGTGACGGTCAATCCCACTATTCGTTGGTAAAAGAGTAGCCCAAGAGTTGGCGGTTGATAGTGATGACTAGCTGCCTTCCCTCTAGTTTTACACTGCTAAATTAGGGACGGCTGGCGCAGATAGCCCTCGTGTACCTTTGCTATTACTTAACACTGTTTTAGAAATTAATAGTTGTGTCTTGATAGTCAAATCAATTTATGGAAAGTAATATCAGTCAAACATCGGCAAGTAGCATTCATGCATTAAAATTTCGTATAGAAAACCATTTTGAGAGTTGTATAAATGTAGAGAAAGATATATTAGCTCATTGCTTTGAGAATCACATCAGTTTAGAAAAATGATGACAGCATTCAAACGTTTGAGCTTCAAGTCAGCATTTAAAAATGATAGCATTCAAGCGTTGAGTTACAAATCAGTATGTAAAGATTCTGATAACATTCAAGCGTTTGAGCTTCAAATCAGTATGTAAAAACTATGATAACATTCAAGCATTTAAGATTGAAATCAGTATATAAAAATACTGATAACATTCAAGTGTTTGAGATTCAAATTAGTATGGTAAAATGATAGCATTAAAGCACTTTGAGTGTCATTTTAACTTCTAAAAAATTATAATTCTTAAGCACTTTGAGTGTCATTTTAACTTGTAAAAATTATAATTCTTAAGCACTTTGAGTGTCATTTTAACTTCTAAAAAATTATAATTCTTAAGCACTTTGAGTGCCATTTTAATTTGTCAGAAATTATAATCCTTAAGCACTTTGGGGGTAATGTCGATACATATAAAAAGAATAATAATTAAGCACCCTGATATGAAAAAAGTATAATTATTACTCACATCAATGTGTAAAATGGTAAGTAGTAAAATTAAAAATAAGTTAAAATGATTATATATATACATATATATACACATTTGTATGCATTGGAAATGTTTAATATTTTATACTGACAATATTTTATTTTACTAGAAAAAGAAGGAAAGCAAAAAGTATATAAACATTGATGGCTATCTTACTATTAATGAGACAAAAATTGAGTTTATAATCTGAGATATATTTATACAGAACCACAACATAAAGCTGCAAAAAAAGCATAAATAAAGAAAATATTTAATAGAAAAACTCTTGAACACCATGGAATTAAGTATGACTACAATAAGACCCCCCCTCTATGTATATTAATATATATACGTACATTGAAATTTTTCATTTTATTAAATTTGAATATTACGAATCTATTTAAGGAAATATCTAAAAGTATCAACACCTTAAGGTCACAGAAAAACCACAGATATTATCAGATATCTTGTTAACTCTTTTAAGATTGGCAGTGTTTCTTTTGTAATGTGACTATCAAACTACCAGGAGGAGAAAAAGCAAAAAGAGGCTGAAGCAAAGAGAAAACGACTACAAGAGGCAGAAAGGAAACGACAAGCTATGATGGAAGCCATGCAGAAACAGAAAATGCAAGAACCTGTAAAACGGAATTTTGTTATCCAAAAGAAAGAGGGTGATGAAGGTCCACATGCTGCCCTTGGCCACTCTGGGTTCGATAAGGTAAGTTAAGTAGTAACAAATTAGTGTTGGATATGGTAAGTTAAGTATCAAAACGTTAGTGTTCGATATGATAATTTAAGTATGAAAACGTTGGTTTCGATAAGGCAAGTTGAGTATCAGAACGTTAGTGTTCGATATGGTAATTTAAGTATCAAAACGTTAGTGTTCGATATGGTAATTTAAGTATGAAAACGTTGGTTTCGATAAGGCAAGTTGAGTATCAGAACGTTAGTGTTCGATATGGTAATTTAAGTATCAAAACGTTAGTGTTGGATATGGTAAGTTAAGTATCAAAACGTTAGTGTTCGATATGGTAATTTAAGTATGAAAACGTTAGTGTTCGATATGATAAGTTGAGTATCAAAACGTTGGTGTTCGATATGGTAAGTTGAGTATCAACACGTTTATGTTCGATATAGTTAATTCGTATGTTCTGTATGGGGAGCTGAGTATCAACATTTTGGTGTTCCATAAGGTATAGTGAGTTTCTAAAATGTTGGTGTTCCATAAGGTAAGGTGAATATCTAAAATGTTGGTGTTCCATAAGGTAAGGTGAATATCTAAAACGTTGGTGTTCCATAAGATAAGGTGAGTGTCTAAAATGTTGGTGTTCCATAAGGTAAGGTGAGTGTCTAAAACGTTGGTGTTCCACAGGGTAAGGTGAGTGTCTAAAACGTTGGTGTTCCATATGGTAATGTGAGTGTCTAAAACGTTGGTGTTCCATATGGTAAGGTGAATGTCTAAAATGTTGGTGTTCCGTAAGGTAAGGTGAGTGTCTAAAACGTTGGTGTTCCATATGGTAATGTGAGTGTCTAAAACGTTGGTGTTCCATATGGTAAGGTGAGTGTCTAAAAACGTCATGTTCGGTAAAGTGAGTTGGGTTCAAGAAACGTTAGTGAACGTAATTAGTTAGGGCAGAATTCCTGTGGCCCAAGTTATACTGCTGCACGCTGATTGGCTATCATAAGCAATAAGAAGGAAGGGGTAGAGACGATGAGGTATCACGACATTTTACAGCCGACTAGTCGTACCCTCTGGTGCCACAGTGTGGCACTATGAAGTCATTGTCTGGTTCTACGACATTTTACTGCCGTAGTAAATGAATACAGGTGCTTTATTTTGCCAGAAAAGGGATGCAGCAATTCATTATTTCATTTTAATGTATACTGCTTGTATAGAAATTATATTATCGGACTATTACGAAAGCAACTATTACCATTTCAAAAAACCCTTGAACACGAAAATTACGTCATAAAATCTGTACCCGTGCAAACATAAATAATAGTGTAAGTATTTGCTATATAGTGATAGCTTTTTTTCCCCAGCAAATAATTTAGTTACTTTATTATTCTGTTTTATTTTTAATCAAGTTTACTGTGGCAGTTTATTAGTTCACTGTAATTTTTGAGAATCAAGTCGTTCACTGTGCTAGAAAATGTTTTGTTTTAAGAACATAATTATTTGGAGGAGCAACATCTCCACAAGGCACGTTGATAGGAGAGGGGGTGCGTCTACGAAGTGGCACCAGAAGGTGTGTTGCTAGAGGAGGATGTAAGATGATGAGGTAATCTATGATCAATGCGCTGATAGTTCACGAGCGAAGCACCAGAGGGTGATATTGATCAACGGGTATCATGTGTTTCAAGATGTCATCAACTTTATAGTTTTCATTTAAGTAGCAATCAAAACCTTAAAATTAATCTTTCATCTAATTTGCATCTTGTACTTTTTACAATTATGCTAGTTTATCTTGTATAGTCCTGTACAGGAGAGGATGACATTATAGTATGACTCCCCCAGGTGGCGTGTTGCTAAGTCTTACTAAAGACAATATTACTATAGTTCCATAGGATGATGCAGTCATCAGCATTGTATTTTTCACTTCTATAATTAATTATATGCCCTAAAAAGTTACAAGTAAAGCTATTATTAGTATTTTTTTATGGCTGTATTTTATAAGCTCAGCATAACAATAAAAGAGTTCTTGACAAGATATTTCATTTTGACACTTTATTATTTTCTCACACTAAAGTTTTATGGATCTGATCTACATAAAAAGACATATCTATTATAGGCGTATTTACAGAAAAACGTTTTGCAACAAAATCATAACAAATATATCATTAGTATGATTGTGAGATTGAAATTTAGATAACAGTTTTTCTTCCTACACATATCAGCAATGATAATATGTATAACATATACAATAGTGTCTGCACACAGACGAATATGATCCTTGGTGAATTTTCTTATGTTGAGGTTATTTGGAGGCAGTTTTAATGGATATCATCTCAACCAAAGTAAATACAAACCCGGTGGCTACCAGGTTTATGTCTCAGATTCAGATTATTGATATACAGTTATTTTTCTGTCAGGTACTTGATCACTGGTAAACACATGTCCAACCTTCTTTCACATACAGAAAGCTTGTGTGGGTATCGAGTAAATTTCTAGTGTTCATAGCTTCTTAGATATCAGTTATGATATTTCTAGACTAATCAATTTCTAAAATTGACTGGAATTCTGCATAGGGGAGACAATTTATAGTATTTCACTTCATAAATTTCCCTATTTCACCAAGTCAAAGTGTGAATCTCCAGCAGATAGATCCGGTGTCAAATCCAAAGAAGAGAGTGTATATATACTTCCAAGTATTCGTTTTATCCTATATCAATTCCTCGATCTTGAAACTGTTTTCCCATTCCACTAAATAATGTTTCATAGCTTCGTGCATACAGTTCAGCATCCAAATCTGGTTGTAAAGGTCGAGCGGGAATCTTTTATCCATCCACATTGATTGCCACGAAATCGATACTGTAAATTTTGAAATTGTGGGGATTTTCTTCCAAAATCCACACTCTGTGACAAAACGTATAAGTACTTGACCTAAAATGCATTATCAGTAGATGTTTGTAAGTTTCCTTGGGGGAATGGAAAATGATTTGTGTACTATATATTTCAAAGGATAGTTAACTGTTCCTTTCTGAAATGCTTTAGTGTATGACAGAACGAGTGACAGGCTAACCTTGACTTTTCTAGCGTAGATAGAAACGTGTTGTAGAATATCCTTGAATCCCAATTCATCATTTGACATAATAGAGAATAAATCTTTACTTTGTACGAGGTTTGTTTTAAACTTACAACATTGGACAAAAACTTGATCTGCAGAAAAATGTCCAAATATATTGTCGATGATTATGTCGACTGTTTGGCTACCACGTGTATTTATGTGTTAGTTTTTGATTCTTTTCTTCTTACCATCATTAAAGTTGAGATCGACAAAACTACCCAACTTGTTCTTTATCTAAATAGATGATGTCAAATGAATTCTTTTAGCTTCTCCAATATAACTCAGTAAAGTTTTTATGTAGGCTTTATATGCGTAAAGATGGTGAGACGAAGAAATGAGTTTGTTATTCAGATATACATTCTGTTGAGAAAATAGAAAATGAAGCAATAGGTTGACAGGAGCAGTGTTATCTTCATAGTTTTTATACCAGACCCATCTGGTTTTACAATTTTTGCCTTTCCGTGAAAATATTATTGTGCCACATTTAGGTATATATTTCCTGAACCTAATATAGAAAATTCGATGGGTCCTCTGTAAGTCACTGAAGCTAGAGGATATTATTTTGTCACTGACACTCCTCAATCATAGTTTGTGTGGGAGGGGGAGAAGATAATTCGAGCTCAGATTTTGTGCAATGACCGGACTTTTCATTTCATTGGAGGATAATGATTACTTTAAAAAACAAACAAACTAGGGTTAAGGTTGTCTCTTGGTTTTAGTAATTTTGAATACATGGCCTTCCTGTTTCTTCATCCTACTAGAATGAATAATCTGTTGACATTTTGAACCAGGTTCTGAGCTCCTTGATTTGTTCATTATTTCACAGCATCATCAGCAGATTTACCTTGTATGACATCTGATGCTAAATGTATGCTTGACTCAACAGCTTGTTTACCTAAATAATACCTCTTTTTTTCAGAAATTGTATAACTGAACGAAACAGGTCACTCAATACGTCTCCCAATTCATGACCCTTTTGCCATTGACTACTAGCATAATAAAGTAAACCTTTCCTACTTAGTAATCATAATTGGCATCATAGATGGTTGGCTCGTGATATTAAGACAAAGTGTTACGATTACTCTCCCTTTTTCAAATGAGATAAGCCAGTCCATGTTATCCCTTATATATCAATCTCAATAGTCTGAAAACTTTGTTTAGAAACAGGTCTGTAATGAGGATTTTTAAATTGTTCAATGATCCACATCCAGCCTCTATCCTACCTTTAACCTGAATGATCCCTATTAGTGGTACATATACTAGGTTCCAAAATATCTGATTAATCATAGAATTAATCAAATCTGCTGTGCATTTTAACAGTATATGAAGATATAGTGAGCACTATTATCACATGGTTATTATTAAATCGAAGTAGTACTGATAGTACAGACTCGAGTGGTACAGAGACTCCATCATTTATGTTCACACTTACTTTTTGAATGAACGAATCATAATTAAATATAGGTTTATTGTCAGGTTCAGGAAGTGATTTTTCTACTTGGTTAAAGATTTTAATTAACTCTTTAGGTTATTTGTAATGACCTGGTCTAAGATAACTATTTATGGTATCAGTAAGGCCAGAAAAGTAGGATAACCATTAGGCACGTTATGCCAGCTATGTGGATACTGTAATTCAGCCACGGTCACTCCCAGTGAACCTTCATGGTTGATAGGTCTTGGAAGATGAGTAATAGAGTTGGCTGGAACATTGCTGGCAAATTAGTTCATGGAACTGTTAGTAAGCAATGTAACATACAGCTGATCCATGCTTAATAACGAGTAATACAGTTATGCTTAACATTTTATGTTGGCAGACAATTCAGATCTGTTTAAGGGGTCAAACTATTAAATTTATCAGGATATCCTTTGCATTTTATGGAATAATGTTTGTTTTTACCCATTCCTTATTCATGCAATATTTCTTCCACAG